AAGGATTACCCCAAGTCTTGCTGCCGTAGTTTTTCACAGAGAAGATGTGGAAAGCAGAAAAAACATGTATAAGTGAAATATGTTCTTATATAACAGGTATGTAAGGCCAAAGTAGACCAGACATCTAAGTACAAGGGAAGTCTAAGCAATAATCATTAATTGTTGGTTTTGGTGACTGGGTAATAATTTTCAGGCAATAAGAGGAAAACATTTAAAGTCACTCAGAGAAAGACAATTATCATATGATCTCACTCATATGTGGAATTTAAGAGACAAAATGGAGGAGCATAGGGGAAGGAAGGGAAAAATAAAGACGAAATCAGAGAGGGAGACAAAGCATAAGAGACTCTTAATCATAGGAAACAAACTGAGGGTTGCTGGAGGGGAGGGGAGGGGGTGGGGGGGATGGGGTAACTGGGTGATGGACATTAAGGAGGGCACGTGATGTAATGAGCACTGAGTGTTATACAAGACTGATGAATCACTGACCTCTACTTCCGAAACAAATAATACATTACATATTAATTAATTGGATTTCAATAAAAAAAATAAAAGTACCAAAACAAAACAAAAAAAAGAGGAAAACATTTAATTTCTCAAATTGGGCTTAATTAATTTAGATAAGTGTATTTTTCTTAATAGAAGTGTTGTTCTGATTAACACCAGGTCAAGTTTAACATCATTATGTTCTTAAGACAAGGCTTGAGGCATATGGAATAGGGTTTTTAGAGGCTTTTTGATGGATGAGGCAAGAAATTTTTTTTAACAGGATGGGTAGAGATTGACTGCAGTGTGTAACATCTTGCCTTGCTAATTATGCTAATTGCTAATTGATCATCTGATTCCTTATGTCTTGGGGACATTGAAGAAACTGGTGGGTGGCCTTTGTCTCAGATTCTATTATTGCAGTTATGACAACACTTCAATAAGTCAAGTCAATTACATTAATGAGCAAACTACATTAAATGTGCCTTGTTTGGGATTAACCCTTCTTCCTCCATTCTCAATGGCTCCCTAAACTCCATTGATTTGGGGTCTTCAAAACATCTCTTTATCCTTTCCTCACCACCGCCAATGGGATGACTCTCAGAAGTCTCCTAGGTGGCTTCCTTTTTTCTTCTTCTTTTAATTGCAAAGCCCTCCCCACACTCACAGCTCTTGGCAAGGGTCACCAGAGTGCTCCTTCTGATCACTCCACTTTCCTCATGGAGAGCCTCCAAATGCTTCCTATTGCTACTTTATGAATTCTAAACTTCTCCGTGAGACTTTCAGGAACAGCAATGACAAGGTCCGTCTCTCTATTCAAAATGATTCCTCACTGTTTTTTAATATCTTTTTCTCCTACACTCCAGTAAGGAGGAGGGGAAATTGAGAAATGTAATGAGCTGGGAAAGAAGAAATTAATTTGCATTCTTTGAATTCCAATTCCTTCTGGCCTTGTCCCACAGATAACTGTGAAGAGGTAGGTTAGGAGAGAGTTACTACTTGCCCAAAGCTAGAAAGCTGATTAGTAGAGTTGGGATTCAGACCTAGATCTGTCTGACACCCTTCCTTTTCCCAATATTCCATCCACTGTACTTACGCAGGCTGCCCCCTTGCTCCCCGACCTCTACCAGCCAGCACCCGAAATGCCCCTCTTTCTGCCTCACTTCCAAGATTCAGTTCCCAAAACAGCCTATCTGAACACTCCAGATTTCCCTAAGCATCTCTGGCCTAGACTCCCTGAAAACTTAGCCCCCAAATTAGGTAAGGTGCTCTTCCTCTGCATTCCGATGACATCCCTTTTTTATTATACTACATATTTTTTAATGAACATTTTTGTTGATACATCACAGAGGAAAATGCACATATCATTAGCATAAAACTTGATGAAATATAAAGAAGCAAAACCACTCCCTGAAACCACCAACCGGATCAAGAAATCACCGGCAGGCAGAAGACCACCCCTTTGCTGGACCCTCTCGATCATTACCCCCACTTGCCTCTCCTCCCCGAAGGTGGTCATATCCTGACTTCCATAAAGATTCATTTTGTATGTCTGCTTTCAAATTTTATATAAATTAAATCATGAAGTCTAGCTTCTATGTTTGTGAGATTCAGTCCCTGTTGTTGTATGTAGCAATTATTCATTCATTTTCATTGTAGTATATAGTATTCCATTATATGTATTCCAATATATATTCCATTCCATACACTAATTTATTTTACTATTGGTAGATATTTTGAATCATTCCCATTTGGGGCTAATATGAATAGTATTACTATGAACATTATTGCAAAATTTTTATTGACTAGATGTACATTCTTTGGGGTATAAATCATGGAGTGGAATTACTAGGTGATAAGTTATACGTATGATCATCTTTAGGAAATAAGGCCAGTTTTTCCAAAGTGGTTGTGCTAATTTATGCTCCCACGGCAAGGTCTGGTGTATTCCCAGCTGCATTTCATCTTCATCAACAACCGATAGTGTCTACATTATAATTGCAAATCCCACCCCCTTTTCTCCCTCTCTGCATAGCATGACACCTACAAGGTATCTTAGTAGAAGTCAGATGAAATAATAAGTGAATGGCTGCTATTATTTGCTCCTATACCTATTGTCACCTGTTAGGCAGAATATCATAATGGTTACAAGCACAGGCTTTGAGGACAGGCCATCATGATTTGCCTTCTTACTTCACCACTCACTAATCAGCAAGTGACCTGCCTGTGCTAGTTTGTTCACTTTGGACATCGCAGCGTTGTTCTGAGGATTTAAATAAACTAGACAGTACTTAGAATAATGTCTGGTGTATAGTAAGAGCTCAATAGTGTTAGGTATTAGTGTACTTGAATGCTCAGGACCTGCACCCAGTTAGACTTCCTACAAATAGAACCAGTTGGTATAAGAATCTTTGGCATGCCCTCTGTGAAGCCTGCTCTAGGCAGCTGACCCCACAGAACCCTCTGGACTTCTGAAGTTCTCTTTATCCCTCATTCAGCACCTGCCAGACACCATGAGTAGGTGCCATGTCTCCCCAGGTAGATGGCAAAAGCCCTAAGTGCAGTGACTGACTTAGTCTTCATGGTAGCAGTGGTTTCGAAGTCCCATTTTAACTTGTGGGGATCATAGCTGAATACATTCCCCCAAACCCATTGTTGAACAGATCCACAGGGAGAGAACAATGGAGAAGTGTACTGTCCCCCTTTGCAAACACCACACTCAAATGTAGTTTCAAATGCTAGCAGGGATGTACTTTACTTTCGTAGATAAAAGATACTCCTGCATGTGCATGACTTGCCATCACAGTACTCAGTAAATATTTGCTTTTTTAAAAAATTGATCCCTTGTTCTTTCTTGACTTCCTTGTTCTTGCCTTGTTCCCTTCCCACCCACTTGTGTTTGATCTAATCTCCTCCCATATTTGTGTGACAACCCCCAGGACTCCTCTGCTCTTATCAGTTCCCGAGCAACACAATGAGATCCTCTACAGTGATGGACTATAACCCAATAAACCAAATTTCTACCCTAAAAACGTAAAAAGCTCTGTCATCCACACCTAGCCCCTCTATCTATAATTAGATTGGAGACGCTCAACCTGCAAGAACTGTGTCCCGATAAAAATGTGATTTAAGCGCTCTTTGTTCAAGAAGGAATTCGTAACCCTTATCGATAATGAGAATGAGGGGAAGATAGGCAAATCGTCTCCCAGTCAGAGTTGGTTATCAATCTTTGTTAGGAAAATGCAGGCTTTAGATTCTCTTTGTTGCTCTAGTTGACTTTGGCATGTGTGTCTGGGAGGGGATTTAACATGTAGCTAGCTAGCATCTGTAGGTCCAATAGCATCTCAGATGCAAAGGGGGGCCCACATTCAGCGAGAAGTCATTGACTCACTTTGGTCCCCTTCCTTCAGTGGATTACCAGGGGGAAGAACTAAGTCATCTCCAAATACGAGGTGTTCAGCCCTTAGAAGCCTTGGGAGGAACGGGGTGTGTTGGGGGAGAGGGTGTGTGTGTGTGAAGTGAGTTGTAAGAACCAGGACATAGGGGAAGATCACAACTTTCCTGGTGGAATCCCTGGTTAAACGGAGAGGTCGGGTGAAGGCAGCGCAGCGGGCTTAGGGGTCACGGCAGCAACCATCAGCTGTTTGAGAACTCCCTATTTGCCAGGAATTTGTGTGAAAGGACTAGAAAAGTGAAAAAGTACATTTTAGACTCAAAATGATGAACTCTTAATATCTTAATATTTTCCCTTCTTCCTCAGTAGGTTTTCCAGTGGGATGGGCCCCACGACTGGCCTCCGCACACCAGACCCAGAGTCAGCGGGGCTGCCTTAAGCAGCTGCTGGTCGGCACAGGGACTGGCTCCTCAGGAGTCCTTCTCTGAGCTGGCCCCGGACTCCATTCAGCTGTGGGTGCTCTCAGAAACCAAAAGTCCCGCCAGTTCAGCTTCTTGGGGACATATCCCTTTATGACAAACATCCCCACCATCTTCAGCAGTGTTCTGCTTGCAGACTATTGTCTTGGCTTCCATTTCAACAAACTGCTTTATTGAAAGTTTGCCTTTTCCATTAGGCTCTTTAAGGGCAAAGATTTGTCTGCTTTGCCCACTGCTACATCCCCAGCGCTGGGGCAGGGCTTGGCCCAAGAGTAGGCACCCAAAGTAGTTGTTGAAAGAAATACCTGTTTTAGGCAAGCCAGATGTCAGGACAAATAGCCAACTTCAGAGGGTAGGCAATAAATACAGAGAACATAGCTTCATGGCTGTCCTTGTGAAATGGATTTGTACCTTGAAAAGGGTTTGACTGACATCATAAAACACTGCTAAGACCTGGAAGATAACCTGGCTTTAGGACCACTCTATACCTCCCTGGAGTCTGAAGCTGCTACTATTGGAGGCCAACCACTGAGCTGCAAAGTACAGCAGTTTCCCAGGGTTATATTGGACCCATTGTTACCCCTCCCCACCCCATTCAGCCCCAATGGAGATATACAAAATAACACACACAACACAATTCATTAAATATTTTTCAAGGTTTTATTGCAAACCAAAGTTGGTTTATCACACACAAAAAAAGTTGTGTGGTGGGGAGGGGGGAAAGAATTGTACATATTATAACCATGTTAATTACAGTACATTAAAATGGTGGTTTACATTACAAATAAGCCTGTAAGTTTAAATATACTAGTGTTATAACCCAATGTACAGACTTTCTTTATACAATACATACAATTATCAGGAATGCAAAAAAAAAAGAAAAACATAAATAATGCCCATTTTACAGGTGACATTTTAAACAATGAAAATACCAGGCTTTGACTGACAACTGGGGCATTGGTCCATAAAAACCCTTTCTAAAAATAGAAATATTTGTAGCAGCAATGCTTTCTTTAAGCATCTGGATACAAGTCATTGCAAGACCATTTTCAATAAATTTTAGTTATTAACTGTATCTTACAAAAAAAAAACAAAACGGTCTACACATAAATTTATCTTCCAAATATGGAAGAAACAAACAATGTCCCACATTGTAGTGTCCTGCAAGTGTCACATTGATGCTTAGAACTAAACCCATCTGTGATCAAGCATACCACACTCATACCACTGTTCACACAGTAAATCCACAAGGAAAAATAAAGAACTGAAACACTCTGCAATAGGAAAAGCTTTGGAGCTAACACGATCTCATCAGAAAAGGCACATTTCATAAGATTCGTTATCACGGCCCAGACAGACCTTCCGAAAACCCTTCTTAGAACTGCATCATCCTAATAAGACTACTGCATCTGTCTACGGCGGCACGCAAATGCTCATTGCAGAGATAGCACCATGTTGGAAGGAAGAATAAAAATGAAAACCTCATGAGCTCACTGAGGAGGATGTGCTCTTCAAAAAGCTTCCAGCAAACAGTGTGCAATAAGACTGCCAAGATGTGCAAGCTTCCAGAGATGTGCAAATTCTCTTTTAAGATGTCCTGTCAGCGGGCAGCTCTGCCACGAGGCTAACTAAAACGCTTACACACACACACACACACACACAAAATCCTTCAAGACCACCCCGAGGACTGTTCAGAGGAAAGAGTCCATAGGAGGAGCATAGGAAAAGCCTAGGAAGGCCTCGGCCGCTTCCTTGACGCTGGCTGTGAGGAGGATGCTGTCGGGGGACCTGCCGATGGAGTTGGGGACCGGCTCTTCGGTGAACTCAGGATCGAAGTGCCGCAGGTCACTAGGTCCACTCTATTGAGGGAAGAAGAAAAAAACCACTCAGTGTCAAGAATTCAGTGTGCCGACAGGACAGGGAAATGCTCATTTTGGGCTTTAAATACTGGAGCTCAAGTCTTTGGGGTACTATATGGAAACTCCCATGATAACCATCTATTTCAGGCAAAAAACCCACAGGCCACATAAAATTTAAATAACGAGCAGAGTGTTCAATTTTTGTCCTTTGATACTGTAACTGGTGAATGTGTGGAAAGGTTATGTTAGCTTGGTTGGGACAAAAATTCTACTTTTTACCAAGGGAAAATAATGGCTTGTGAATAAAAGATCTGCCAATGTATTCCTCAGGGCCCTCCCCTCTACCACCACCAACTCTTGACTGCAAGAAGTGTCCTTTGGGCCCTCCCATACTCGGAGGAAAGATGTACTCACCACATTTGGGTTAAAAGGGGGAGTAATCTTCTTATTAATGAGATCATCCCAGTTAATCAGGGAGAAGAAGACATGATTCTTAATCTCCATCTGTCGAGAAGAAACGGGAGATGAGTTTAGACAGGTGGAATTTAAGAAGGGCAGTGGGGATCTGGTGTGCTTCCCAGACAGCCCAGGAGAACGGGAAAAAGGTACTCACGAAGTCGTCCTTGGCACCCAGTCTCTTCGTCCTCTCCTTCTGCAGGAGGCCCTCCAGGAGGTGTCTGGCAGAATTGGTAATATTTGGCTTCAGCTGGAGGGGCTTGTTCAGAATGTTGTCATACATCTCAGCTGTGTTTCGGCTGTAAAAAGGAGGCTGAAAGAAGAGGGGAAATTAACGCTCAGTTGGAAGGTTTGTACAGCACACACGACCAACAGAGAAAAAGTCTTCAACCAGGTTAAGCGAGATTTGACAAAGTCTTTCCCTTAATAGGTTTTCTTTGCCCTGGATTTTTAAAATGTCTATTTCGCGACCCTTATCAGGGAGTAGATACTAATAAGCCACATTTTCTCTCACATGGGTTAAGGGGGTCATAGCTAGTCAAATGTGAATTTACAAAAGAAAAATTCACTAAGAGCTTACTCTAAAACACTTATAAAATAACCAATAGGCCTCTCTTATCAGCATCTGATAAGCTTATTGATAAAGGGGCAAAACACAACGACCAGGTCTGCAATGGGGCTTGTGCACCCTGATAAGTCTGGATTTTAAGAAGACCATATTCTAGGGAGCACTATCAAACCAGGGGCAAGATTCCATGGCTCTCAACGCGCTACTCACCAGGCCATACAGCATCTCATATAAGACGGCCCCCAGGCACCACCAGTCCACGGTCCTGTCATAAGGCTGCTTATGGAGCACCTCGGGGGCGAGATACTGAAACACAAAGCAGGAAAACAGAGTTTAGAAGTCTGTGAAACCAGGCAATCCCACGACCAGGCATGCACTTTGAAAGGGCTGAGACCCCAGATCCACTTGCAGGATACATTTCTTTACATCACTTCCTGATAAAACTGCTGGACTTGGAGGCTGACTGGCCAGGTATGTGTACTGGTATTTAGGAAGCGACTGGGCACCCAACAGATAGCTTACGTGGGAATTTACAACCTTTCTGTGACATGGCTTTTGCAAACAGCTGGTCTTAATGAAAGCAACACGAGGCCTTGGGATTTCTCATGCTGCACCAAACAGCAAATGTATTTCCTTGCACTCAACTGGACTGAGAAACCTCCGAGAACAATCTATCTTTCTGGTAAGTACTTAATTTTTGCACTTGGCTCTCCCAGGAGGGGGCAGACCAGGCACTAAGCGGAGAGTGCTCCTACCTCAGGCGTGCCACAGAAGGTGGATGTCGTGCCATTGTGTTCGATGTTCTCCTTGCAGAGCCCAAAGTCAGTAAGGACAATGTGTCCCTGTGAATCCAGCAGAATATTCTCTGGTTTTAAGTCTCTGCAAAAGAAAAAAAGAAAAAGAAAAAGAAAAAAGTTGTGTAAGTTAATTTCACTTCGTAAGAAAGCCTCTGTGAAATAATAGCTCGGGGTGTTAGAAGCATTTCCAATTCGCTGTAGCTGTATAGTGAATAAAAAAAAAGGGAGTCCTTGTTCTGCTAATCTATTCTGTATTAGGCACAATCCTAGCTGGCTAGTTCCCTGGTGGCATGGAGTCAAGGCAGCTCACATGCCAGGGATCTGGTTTTAGATGACCAAGCTGTACATAAATACAAAATTATTTTAAGGCTCTGTCAAAGACTAGGGCTCGGTCTCCTTTCTCCTTTCTACCTGGGAAGGTAACCTTGAGAGCTCTCCAGCTTACCTATAAACGATGTTCAGGGAGTGCAGGTAACCCAAGGCACTGGCTATTTCAGCAGCATAGAAGCGAGCCCGTGGTTCCAGGAAGCAACGTTCCCTCTGGAGATGGTAGAACAGCTGCAGGAGACAGAACAAAGTTAGGCTGGGTTGCCAAGGCTTGACAACAATGCATTTAATTAGTCTCGACATATATAGCTAAAGGGGACAATTGCAGGAAGTGGCCTTAAATAGTCTGTTAACTATTTGCAACCTTCAGGTTGAAGGAAAGGCTAATTCTGGTAACTTTTCCCCCCGAAATATCATTGAAAAACTTTCCAAACTAAAACCAGGAATGCCATGCCCAGACACCCAAAGGTTAGCTCATATTCCCACCACTCACCTCTCCACCGTTGATGTAGTCAAGGACAAAGTACAATTTGTCAGCAGTCTGGAAAGAGAAGTGAAGCCCCACTAGGAAAGGGTGTTTCACATTCTTCAGTAGAACATTCCGTTCCGACATAATATGCTTTTCCTAGAAAAAGGACAATTAAAGATTTAGTGGCAAATTTCAACTTGGTACCAAAATTCCAAGGTAAAACCACTCAATGAATGTCTATTTTCATTCAGCTCCAGTCCATCAAGTGCATTTCGTACCTCCTTCTTTTTCAGGATGGCTTTCTTCTGTAAAACTTTGACTGCATAGAATGCTTCTTCTGCTTTGTGTCTTGCTAGAAGAACCTGGAATTTCAATAAAAAAAAAATCATTTTGCTATCTATACCCACGGAGAATGTTAAATGAATGTGAATGAAAGACTATAAATTATGAGGTCTTCAGATCTGAAATTACCTTCCCAAAACTGCCTTTCCCAATCACTTTCAAGAAGTGAAAGTCAGATGGTTTAGCATGAGGATTGGATGATGGGCCAAGGTTGATTTGCTGAGAAGGACTTGGCTGGAAAAGAAGAGTTTTCTTTTAGTATCCTTGCTTCAAAGGAACACAACAATCAAGGACAGGCAATGTAAAAGATGCTACATCTGCAAATGACTGAGGCAAGCCACCACACATCATAGACACAACCAAGACTACTTTTCATCCGTACACATTAATATTTCAAATGGGAGTATGGAAATTGTACACAATCGTGTTGTAACCAGAGAAAACTTTGAGGTAATAGGCCTTTTAAAATACTTCACTGACTCAATAGTTAAGTAAGTGCTATGTCACTTGTTATGCCATTAACTAGGCATTCCTGTCTTAATACTAATTTCTAGAAATGCTATTGTAATCCATCAATGTAGGAATACTAACTGACTCATTTACAAGATTCCTCTACAGAAGCATCACAAATAGAGAATACTTACTGGAGGAGAAGGGTTGGCATTCATAAGCTCAGGCTCCTGAGGTTGGGAGATTTTCAAAATGGACTGAACTTCAGGGCTAAAGAGAAAGGAACGACTTAGAACCTCCTTAACTCGACACAAGGGGGCACAGCAACACCAGTAGTTTCTGGCTCAACTTTTCCCCAACCGTTCGAAGTGTTTCAACCAAAAACATCCAAAGAAATTACTCAGTTAAAGAAAGTAATAGCCAAAGAAAATAATAAACCCAGTTAAATACAGGGATGAGGGTTGTTCTTCATGGCAACAGGGGGTGAATTAGGCAAACATGAATATTTTATCTTACAGCTCTAGGACTGGCCAAATCAGCCCATTAGTTTTAATGTTTAAAATGTTTTCAACCGGGACTTAAAAGAGAAAAGGGCTCCCACCCTCGGGGAAGGCTTCAGCTTTCTGATCAACCCTCTGATGAGAATGTGTCTTTACTGCTGGTAAACTGAAACTCTACTACTTATTTTTATTTCTCCCAGTCCTCCCCAAAACTTACTGTTTGCATGCATATGAGTTATTGGCAATCTTCTGAATAAAGTCGTTCAGGCCCATCCTCCTCTGTTTCATGAAAGCTGTGAATTAAGAGAGGAGAAATAAACAAACGTCTAGATGGCTTCGTAACCTCCGACGCCACACACACTAATCTGACGCGCGACCTTAAAAAAATTTCCACCTCGCATATCCTAGAAGTTCAGTATTAATTTCTACACTCACCGATGAGAATTGCTACCATTCCCCTCATTCTGGAGTAAGTGAGGGTGCCCCTAGCAGCCTCGGTTTTCACCGTCATCTCCGCAGACAGAGCGCGCAGGGAGTCGTTACTGACGGGAGACTTGCTCAGCCAACACTGGCCGTGAGCTTCGCCGCCCGCTTTATAAGCCCTGAGCCGCCGCAGGGGCGGGGCCCACGCGACAATGAGGAAGCGGCCCCGCCCAGGCCCCGCCCCAAGCCCCGCCTCCGGCGGTCGCGCAGCCCTGCAGGCTGCTCCCTCCCGGGCGGTGGCGGACGATTCGGCCCCCGGCCGGAGGACAAGCCCGGGGCGGGGGCGGGGGGGCGCGGGGACTGCCCGGGAGGCCCGGCGCGGGTCTGTTACCTGCCTCTCTCGGCTCCCTGGCCGGAGAGAGGGAAACCGCAGGCGGAGGGGGCGGGGGAAGGGAGAGTCCGGGGTAATTTTCCACCTTTCTCATTTATTCCGCCCAGCTAGGAAATCAGAGTCCCGGTACTGGGGCGCTTTTCGCCCGGTGCTCGGCCAGCTGGTGGCTCTATGCCCGCTCTGGTTTGTCAAACCCTGACTGCCGATTCCCTCCCGGTCCCGGAGCCAGCCCTCTCCCCTCACTCCCCCGGCAGCCTCATCAGCCGCCACCCGGCGGCCGCGCACCACCAGCCCGAGGTGTCCGTCGGGCGAGGGTGGCCCCGCGCGCTCTCATCTGCGGGGTCACCGTGGGTCCGGGACGCCGGGCGGGTCCTCCGCTCCCGCCGCCCTCTCTCCCGGCCTCCGTCCCTCCGCCCTGCGAACGCGCACCCACCCCCGGTCCCTTTCGCCGGAGCCGAGCGACTAGCGGCGGAGCGGGACAGTCCCCGCGTGGCGGCCGCGGCTCTTACCCAGGCCGGTCAGCAGGAAGGACTCGCTGCGTTTCTGCGCCTCGGCCCTCTTTTTGTGGCGGGGCCGGAGCAGAGACTCGAGCCGGGCCCTGGCCAGCGCGCCCTGCATCTCCCCCATGGGCAGCGGCCGCCGGGCGCGCAGCGGGCGAGGGCGACTGGAGAACACTGACGTTTCCTTGAAGGAGCCGCCGTGACTCAGGCCGGGCAAGATTTCCTGCCCTGAGACCCAAAACAAACAAATGGCCCTTGTGCACGGCCGAGCCGCTTCCGAAAACGCCTTTTTTGTGCTTTTGGCCAAAGCCAAGCAAGGCTGCAAAATCCCAGAACTTGGAAGCGGAGGAAGGAAGGAAAGAAAGAGGGAAGGGGGAGGGAGAGGTCAGGAATGTGTAGGGGAGGGGGCGGAAATAAAATTCGTCTCTGCACTAAGGGAAAAAAAAAAAAGTACAATCTGCATTTCACTTTTTTTCCCCCTAATCTTTGAGAACATTCTGTCCGTTCCGCATGTAATTTTTTTTTCTTGCATCTTTAATCTCCGCCACGCCATGAACACGTGAGGAAGTGGCAAGTTCGGGGAGTGGTGGCTCCGCGCGAGGCGCCGACCTGGCGTGACCCCGGGCGGCGGCGACTCCCCGATTCCCTCTCCCGCTCTCCCACCTGAAAACTCTGCAAGGTCGCGTTACATTGTCTTAAAAACCCTCGGTTTGTCCTCGTCTTCCCTACCCCTCCGGTTTATTTCAGGGCTGACCCGGGAGTCTTCTTACAGTTTAACCACCTTGCTTTCTCTCTCAAGTCCCAGGTAAACTGGGACTCGCGCCCTCGTGAAAGAGTAGCCCGGTGCTGCGCTCCAGAAAGCGGAGGAGAGAGGGTAGCTTGGCAGAGCAGCGGTGCGGGGCCTTCCTGTCCCCCCGCTGCTGGGAGATGCCTGGGCGCTGCAGTTTGACCGCCGGCGCGGGGACTCGGGCCAGCGCTGGGCGGGGGAGCCACGAGCAGAGCGACGGGGCCGGAGCGGGAGACGGCGGCTGCAAGTTACTAAGGTTTGCAGGGCCGGTACCCAGCGCTTGCTGGTACTCTCTGCGGTGGCTGCCCTGCTCTGACCCCCTGTCAAGGGCCCTGCCGTTTTTGAGTTGCTTACTGGGTCTGACACACTCCGAAATACCAGCTGTCAAACCCAAGAATAGCATGTGAAGCGGTTTTTCTTTCGTTCTGGGCAGGGATTTGTTTTGCAGGTACAGCCACCTCATTTGCCCTAATATGATCTGTAGCCTCCGAGGCTTCTTGGTTTGCTCAGTTGCAACAGCCCCAGACTGGGAGAAGGGAACACACATCTGTCCTGGAGAGTGGCTGGGAAATGTTGCTCAGCACCCACCGTTAAAACACTTCTCAGTGCCTGATACTGACGCTCCCAACTTAAGCAAGGTTTAGGAAACTCCAAATCACAGTAACTGGCCCATTACTGCTTCCTCTTCCATGGATTCTTCATACAATACGACTACATTACCGCCAGTGCCCCCCATATTGCATGTTCCATTTCAACTAGCCCAGCCGGTCCCTTATCCCACACCATTCCGCCCCCTTTTAAGAGAGCAAATTTGCCCTGGGTATTATATGCAACCCATGAATCACTACATCAAAAACTAATGATGTACTATCTGTTGGCTAATTGAACTTAATAAAAGAGAGAGAGAGCACAAATGTGGCAAAGACTGCCCAGAAACACCAACCTGCACCAAGATTTCTGCTTGTTTGTTCTTAAAACGTGAAACTGAGAAGCCTTCCATCAGACACCGTCCCCCGCGTCCTCACCTCCTGTGCCTTCCCCAGGCCAAGGAACCTCAGATCCTCTAAAGCATCTTCGGTTTACCCATCCCCTCCAAATTATAGTAATAAAAGTACACAAACCTTTCAAAGGGGATTGTATAGCTTCCTCTTTCATTCTTCAGGTTGCCTAGGATATGAAGGTCGGGGGTTACTTTCTGGAGGTTGGAGGTCGACCTCAGTTATGGCTGGAATAACCTCCCTGCTATGTGCCTGATAAGGCTGGAAGCTGAGGTGATGGGGAGCAGAGGAGCGCAAGGCAGCTGTCCTGCTCTGTTATGCACCCCACTTTATATAAAGGCAATTTACATACAGGAAGGGAGCAAGCTGCAAAGTTCAACACTGGGCCATTTATTCTCTCCATTGCAACATCACTCAGAAAATTACAGTCATCAGCGTCCTGAGTTTATTACACCCCCAGTAAGACACACAAGAAATGTAACTTTGACTGATTATCATCACAAATCAGTCCAGAAAAAATTCAAAACACATGCAGAGCGTTCATATTTTCAAAGAAGCTCTGCCACATGCATTCCAGGAGGAACGTGGAATTCAAGTTAGAGGGCTCTAAGAGGAATAGAGAAGAGGCACAACCATATGATTTGTGGTTGGAACAGAAAAGGAACGTCTGATGTTCTCCTTCCTCCCCCTACCCTAATGTTGGGCAGTTGGAGACGGACGGTCTGCTAAACTTATCATTTAACGTAGAGAATCAAGTTGTTGAGACTGGCTTTTCTTCCAACCGGATACCTGAAGGGTGGAGCAGGCGCCCCCTGTTCTGTCCCAGCAACCTACTAAGACTTCCGAACAGGAAGGTGACACACAGCGGCGGGTGGATGCGGTAGGGGGGTTGGTAGACGGGGGAACGGTGTGAGACACGGACCTGTTAACTCTGCACAGGCTTTGGGTTACCCTGTGGCCGCTATTCAAACGCTTGATCTGTTCTTCCTTCCCGTCGCCAGCCTCTTTCTTTGGTCCAGAGTGTCTTCCTACCGGAGGAATCCGGCCCCTTTCCTCTTACTCCCTGGTGGCGGAGTGGCCAGAGTTGCGTCACCAAATTGTGCTTGTAAATGCAACCCAGAGGGCGATCGCGTTCTCTGGCAGAACCACTCTGAAATGCAGACTTTCCCCCACTTCTCCTGAGGTTTAATCAGTTCCAGGTAATTTCTCTACGACACCTTGTGCAGTCACAGAAAATACAGATGGCTTGGTAGGAGATAAGCTTATTACCTCCCCACTCCTTCAAGCCAGTAAATCTCATTTATGCTGCATAGTGGGGAAACTGCAATCAAAACACTCAAATGGAAATGATTCACCAAGATATAAAGTTTGCACTGAAACAAATCATTTTCCAGTGCATGTGTATTTTAATGCTTCAGAAAATCACTTAGTTCTTCTACTTTAATTTTCCTTAATGAAGGACTGTAAATACTGAAACCTGAAAACTTTACTAAGATAGGAACCTTTTCATTTAATTGGCAGGCTCAGAAAACAAATTCCTGATATTTCTCAACATATGAAAGGAAATATTTTGAAAAATATTTTTTAAAGATTTATTCATTTATTTGAGAGAGAGAGAGAGAAAGCAGGGTGGCGGGTAGGGGGAGGGAGAGAAAATCCTCAGGTCAACTCCCTGCTGAGTGGGGAGCCCAAAGCTGGGCTCCATCCCATGACCCTGAGATCATGACCTGCATAGAAACCAAGAGTCAGACACTTAACCAACTGAGTCACCAGGTGTCCCCAAAAATATTTTTATAAGGACTTAGCTCTTCAACTACTTAAGTGTGTCCGCTATGTAAGGTACAATACTTTCCATTGATAACGGGAATATAATTGTTTTGTATTGCCCAAAGGGCCAAAAATTCTAGAACAATTATGTGCACAGTTTAGGTTCCCATGCTTATTGATTCATTCATTGATACTTATAGAATCCTTTTCCTGGAGCATCACCAAAAAAAAAAGTACAGAGAAACACCAAAAAAAAAATTATTACTCTAGAGAGCAACTAAATGGATCAGTTTTTGTTGAAGGTTGTCACCAAATGCATGCCTTTTTTTTTTTTTTACAGTATTCATCAAACAGAAAAAGATGGCAGCAAATGAGTTTATTCACAAGAGCTATTATAGGTAAGTAATCAGCAGTGCTGGTTAAATAA